GCAACACTTCCCAAGACTATAGAGAATTTATCAACTTTCACGATGACGTGCATGAAAATTTTGATCCTGGATGTCCGAGGAAATGCAAGAGGATAACGTATAACGCCATCCAACTCGATGATCCAGACATTCCTCCTCCACATTATGGCATGATCAAGTTGAACACCCCCACAGCCGAAGTGAGTTTCTCGTGTTGAAATATCGTAAGAAACCTTTATTGTATTCTGTCGAAACAAAGAGCAACAAGCAACAATTGCTCTACGGCATTCTCGAATGACCTTGATAGTGAAGGTTCCCAATCGAAATTCCATGCATCCGAAAGAAAAAATCCGTCTTTTATTGCGTTTCAGGTTGAGATTGTGGAAGAGCAGGAGCTGACATCGCTGGAACAGTTTCTCTCCAACATCGGGGGAATGGTCGCGCTCTACTTGGGAATCTCTTTCATCGGTCTCTACGAAACCTTGGAAATTCTTGCCGTGTGGGTGATGTCCCGATTCTTCAAGGCTCAGTTTCCACGCGTACATGTATGAATTAGATGAGGTAAAAAGTGTGGAAGAGCATCATCTCCTTGGCATGACTGTCGTGCAACGAGTAATAAGAACACCTGGAATCAAGTCAGTTCTCCCTTTCATTTATTTCCTGGTATTTTTAACCTAACACGACGGCAGAATGAGCTGGAATTGCTGCCAGTTTCTTGTGTGAGATGCGGTTAGGTCAAAGAGTTTCCGTCACACGTTTCTCGTCTCTACTTATGTCGGATATTCAATGCCAACTGCGAAAGTTGAACTGGCTAACGTTTTCACCTATCGTAAATCGGAATTTCGCGATGAAACTGAAAAATATATTTTCTGTGAACGATTGGAAAGTTGTTTGATTCGCATTCTTTCTCAGTCAGTTTCGTCATTAAATTCGCTGTAACGGACTCATGTCGCATGTCAATGGGTGCCTGCTATGAATTTCCAATGGACTCGACTGCTTTCCCATGGGATTTATACGCAATCTTCGATTCGAAGTCATCCGACGTGCCCTCTCTTCTTGGTCGCATCTGACGTGCGTCGTCTCTTCGCGATGCGACGGAAAAAACGATTGCGAAGGTGAGTCCAGGCATATTCCAAGCATTCAAACATTTACCCATTTTCCCGTCTCGGAATTTTCTCCTCCTAATAGTAAGGCCGAAAAACGAACCCTACCCTCTACTGCACGTAATGAGCAACATTGTGCTATGGCACTCTGGTCAGAACGGATAAAATTCCAGGGGAACTCATGCATGCCCTTTATAGAATCACAGTCCGGACATCTGTCGGAATTGCAAACAAATAACTGCATGGTGCTCCGCTAGGCTCGAAAAAAAAAACAGCGTTTCAAAAATCCTCCTTCACCTGGTTGAATATGTTTTGAGTGGGCATGTTATGATTCTTGATGCATTTTCCTCAGTCGCAGATCCCTCACTAAACGGAGACGTTTTCCGTCAAGAAGAACTTCGAGGAGAATTCATACCGGATTGAAAGGTGACGCAATGCAGATGGGGGAGGCCCTCACTAATGAAAACACGGAAAGATTCGACAATTCCAACGTGGCGGATGATTCCCTCAAACGCGACGTGGAATTGCGGAAGAGAGTGGAGTTCCTGGAACAATACATTCTGTCTCGGGTAAAGTAGGGAAATAATTTATTTTTCCCGTCGAGGGTACGCTCGTCTCCTCGATCTCGCATGATTTTACTTGATGAGCATGCGTTCACAGAATGTTCTCACTCGGCACGGGCGAAGCAATCGACAGAGGGAGCGGAAGCATCGAGAGGCCGGAACACCGACACGACGCGTCTTCTGAACGAGGCATGCGAGCCGCAAGGTTTCCTTCAATGCGAAACACGGTGCAGAGGCAATTTCGCTCGTTTAGGAAGGCCACACCAGACAGGCGACGCTTAGGTATTCCAGCGACTTACAGGGTGTTACGAAAGTTGTGTCCCATTGCAATGTGGCGATTACCTCAGCAAAAAATAAACAAAATCAGATTTTTTTATGTACAATAACAAGGACACTCAACTGATTTAGAATCACTAATTAGTTTTCAAAATAGCCACACTTGAACAGGGTTTTGTAGCACACGCTTTTCTCTCCAAGATGGACCAAATTGAAAAATCTAATTCTGAAAATTTTCGAGCCTCTCATCATCAAGGGCTGGCTTCTGTTATATCTGGGTTGGGATTACTGCTTCTGGACACACTCCGCTCGTTTTCGTGCCGAATGTCAACTCTGAAATATTCCAGTAATGCATCCTGGAAGACTATCTGGTTCTGCGGGCCACGAATCATTTCAATGATGGCAACTGGGTCTTCCAGAAGGACTCAGCGCCAGCTCACAAGGCGTATATAACCCAGGAATGGCTGTGGAAAAATATCCCCAACTTCACAATGGCCCCCTTACCCCCCTGATTTCAACCACTTAAATTTTTCAATTTGGTCCATCTTGGAGAGTTGAGTGTGTGCTACAAAACACCATTCTTTGGATTCTCTCAAGCTATCCCTGAACTGAGAATGGGAACAAATTCCACAGAAAGACTTGCGAAAATCAGTCGATGCTTCCACGGGTCATCTGATCCTTGCCATCTGTGCCAAGGGTGGTTAGGTTAAAAATTATTAAGTGATTCTAAATCAGTTAAGTGTCCTTGT